AAATTGTGGTACTCTATTTTATATCAAATCTGTTAAATTGTGGGACACTATTTTATATCAAGTTTGTTAAGTTGTGGTACTCTATTTTATGTCAAGTCTAATGATTTATGGTACTCTATTTTATATCAAGTCTATTATGATGTGGTAATCTATTTTATATCAAGTCTGTTAAATTTTGGTACTCTATTTTATATGAAGTATATTTAGTGGTGGTACTCTATTTGGTATCAGGTAGTTTTGAGTGTTGGTACTCTATTTTATATCAAGTCTGTTATGTTGTGGTACACTATTTTATATCAAGTCTTTTAAGTTGTGGCACTCTATTATATATCAAGTCTACTGAGTGGTAGCATTCTATTTGGTATCAAGTATTTTGAGTGTTGGTACTCTATTTTATATCAAGTCTGTTATGTTGTGCTACACTATTTTATATCAAGTCTGTTAAGTTGTGGCATTCTATTTTATATCAAGTTTGTTAAATTGTGATACTCTATTTTATATCAAGTCTAATGATTTATGGTACTCTATTTTATATCAATGGTATTATGTTATGGTATTCTAACTGATACCACGTCTATTAAGTTGTGGTAGTTTATTTTATATGAAGTCTGTTAAGTTGCAATACTGAATTTTATATCAAGTCTTTGAAGTTGTGGTACTCTATTTTATATCAAATCTATTGAGTGGTGGTACTCTATTTCACAGGAAGTCTTTTATGTTGTGATACAATATTTTATATCTAGTCTCTTTTGTTGTGATACTCTATTTTATAGAGAAGTATTTTATGTTGTGGTACCATTTTTTATGTCAAGTCTGCTAACTTGTGGTACTCTATTTTATATCAAGTCTATTGAGTGGTGGTATTCTATTTTATATTAAGTCTACTGAGTGGTAGTACTGTATTTTGTATCAAGTCTTTTGAGTTGTGGTACTAAAATTTATATCAAGTCGGTTAAGTTGTGGTACTCTATCTTATATCACGTTTTATGTTACTTTTTTATTGGCTTCTCTGAAAGAGTATGTTTACTGCAGTGAAGCTTTTGGTTACTGATTGTTTCTCGATTTATTGTTACCAGAATGTCTTGATTTGATGGTTCTTCACCAAATTTGGTATGTAGGTAATCTTTATCGTTGCGCAGTTACATTCAGAGTTTCACCTTTCTACTATTCGTTTTAAGGGAGTTAAGAAAGGTTTTACGTTTTGTTCCAGTACTTCGTTCCATTTGGACGAATCTTCTCGAAATGTTTTAAGAACGTTCGTTGCGTACTTGCGTATTTACATGCAAATTGTAGCTTTGTATTATCATTTTTGCGACTTCTGCTCCTGTTCACTTAGCCCCCTAGCTTTTCTCTGCCAAGCTTATATGCTAACAAAAAGGCGTCTCCAACATTCGCGGAGCTCCCCGATTATTCGAGAAATTCAGCAGCGTCACATGACTTCCGGTGTCGTAACAGTACTGAAAAAAAAAATCTAATTCTTAATAAGGCTTTGACGATCATATAGGTTACCAATCATGACAACGATTGATCGTTTGATATCTAATCCTCACAACCTCAAAATATGTACTAGATCTTTGACTTTGATGTTTCATTATCTGTTGTTGTTTCGTTTGTTGCCAACTTGAAAGCTTATAAAATTGTATCCCAAAAATGTTTAACCATAGATGCTACCAAGCCCCTTTTTTAAACTTTGAACGCAGTTAGATTAAAATTGGTAAACATTTTCAAATTTAGAAACTTCAAACATGTAAATTTTAAGTGCTATCGTAAAAAACAAACAAACTAATTATACTGTAATCAGATAATGTAACGCTACACTGTTGTCTTCCGTCTGTGAAAAACTTCGAGATATTTTAACGCTACATAACAAGTGAGGTAAGGGCTGCACCATTGTCTGCTGGTAGTAAATTATTTCTTTTAAACGAGTTTTAGTTTTAAGTTGTTGGTGTTATTTGTGAAATTTAACAAATATTAACGCTGTTACAGCCTTTCCATTTTTAGTTGCATAGTTACATTTAATACACAAGATAAAAAAATCATATAATTTTGTTTAAATTAAAATTAAATCATACATATTTATTTGTATTACAAATAATACGAATTTTACAAAACGCGAGAGCGCCATTATAAACTGAATCAATGAGGAAAATGATAAACAAAAACTGATTTGAATAAGATAGAAGTTAGAGCCTTAATAATTCTAGACTTAAATCAAGTATTACTAATCTATTAGTCGTGAATAATTGTGAACTAAATATTCTTTAGAGGATAAATTCATTACGATGGAAAAGATTGATAATGTTAGAATATCTGAATGTGAGAATTCGCTGTATATACGGCCTGCTAGAATGAGATATACTCAAGTTCGTCTTATTTTAAAATCTTAATTCTAAATTTAATTTTAGCTTGTATTAAACGATTTTATTGCTGCTACAATAACATTTTTTTTGTATGTATAAGGAAAAAGTTACAAAATTAATGTAATAATTAACATTTACTCAAAATAATGTAAATGTAGAATGGCAGGAAAATTCTCATAGTCATACCCCCTGTTAATTCACTTGATAATTTGAATAACTTAAATTAATTAGAAAAAGTACTGGTAGATGATCAAATACATCATGAGTTTATTATACCAGCTGTCGTCTAACTATGAGAATAGTTGGTATTGGTGTGATTCTTTAAAGTGTGACTTGTTAATGTGATTCCATTTGGTCTAGTAAATAGTGGGATACATCCTTCAAAAAAAGTAGTGTTTAAGTAATGACTGGCGTGATTATTAATATCAAACCTAAGAAAAGCAATATTTATATCCCCATATATATAATAATTATAATTTTTTGAATTATATTTTACAAATATAATTTGTAATTATTGTTAAAATTGTTCTGTAGAATGATCTGGGTGAAGAAAAAATTACTTGAGTATAAATTTTTGTTCATTTTCTAGCTGAACACGTAGTTGTACATCTTCACAAGTAGAAACTGATAACTGAATGTCTTGCATAATGTAAAATTTAAAATGTTTAAGAATAAACAACCCTACCCCACCAGCATTGTTTATAGAATTGTTTCCTCTAAATTCATGATTAGATATATGATATCTATAGTATAATTAATAGTATTATTCAACTTAGTTTCAGAAATTATAATTATTTCATAAAGGTATGAAGTTCATACTGTAGTTTGCCCCCAGTGGCACAGTGGTATGATACCTGTGGTGGGCAGAGCACAGATAGCTCACTGTGTAGTTTTGTGTTTAAACTACAAACAAACATACTGTAGTTCTTCAGTTCTGTTAAGATTTTTTGTAAGACTTCATCTGTTAAAATGTATGCTATGTAAATCAATATTCTGTTTGTTTTGAAGTATTTCAGCCAAATTTTCATTATATGATACTTACTTGAAGTCTGGTTGATGCAGTAGTCAGAGTAATAATCATCATTTAGATGATTCATTATTAGTTTATAAAAAAGATCCAGAATACTTAAGGTATTTTTTTCAAAGATACAGAAACATTTACAAGAGAGTCAATATATTTTATTGAGAAATATTGGCAATAGATATTTATAAAGCTATGCCATTTCTTTTTTACATCATTGGGTGAAAAAATTCTACCTGTCTCTTTGGTTTAGTATAATTTATACATGTGGAGGGATATGCAACAAATATTGAAAAATGAACCTATGATTTTCCTTCTGATTTTGTGATTGGCTAGAATTGATAAATTAGCAAAGTGGCTTTTTATCACATGAAGTTTTTCTTCATTACAGTTTTACATCTGGTTTCAGACCAGTTTTTTATATAAGTGTGTTGAATGGTTCTTTTAAAAAACTCTTAAAGAAACTTTTTTTTTATCTCAGAATGGAAAAGAGAAGATATGGGATCTAATGAAAGTACATGACAGGTAAGTGTAACATAAAAGATATCTAACAAAATTATATGAAAGATAAGTATAACATGCTTAGAAAATATGGGATCTGTTGGGGGTATTGTATATCATTAGTTAGTAGGTTAAAAAATAGCAGTCAACAATCAATCATCAACTGACCTTAGGCTACATAAAGCATTCAAAATTGCTCTTTGTATTTACACGTGAAGTTTTCTAAGTACTCTCTTTATTGCTTTATAAAGTGTAGTCTACAATTTTTTTGAAGTTGGATGAAAGATTAAAAGGCTGTACTGATCATTGATGATGACCTATGTGAAATATAGATTTTGTTGCAATCTTCAAAAAAATCTAATTTATCCTTAACTCAAAGATACAAACTTGCATCCCTTATGAGTTGATGCTCTGTGAGGGTGCACTACTCATGATATGGCCCTAAAAGATTATAATGTGAAATTTAATGCTTATATCATTTTATAATATATTGAATAGCTTGACATAACAAATACCCAGGCATTCCAAACTAACAAGCATCATGTAGTATTCAGTCTGTGCATTAATGATCTAAAGAAAAAAAATGTTATATAACGTTTTCTGAACACTGTTGTCACACATGTATGTGGTAAATTATGATAGACTTTACAACTGAAATATAACCTAATAGCTTATTAAATGTTCCAATTAATGGGCTACAGGCATGGCATTTAAAATATTTATTGGTTAAAGTATGGTAATCAATATGTTTTCATAACACATGTACACTACACTAAGCAACTTTATAAAAAAAATTGTAGTTAAATATTTTATATATAATTTAGTAGCAGTTAGATTATTACAGTAAAATTATCTAGTGCTTGTAAGTTATTGAATAAATTTCATGGAGAAATTATTGTTTTTATCCAGTTTGTAGAATAAACATATCCACCCAACAACAACAAAGAACATTTGCATATAATTCTCCACAACACTGCCAAACTGACATAATTCCTTTGCTTCCAAGTGAATATGATGATGCACCCAGACAGCAATGTATGGTAACAAATACATGACAAAAATGTCATAGGTTATATTTTAACAACTATTATTTACTATTCTGTAGTGATAATTTTATGTTCTGGGATCTTTTCTGTTTCATGCACCACATTCAAATAGAAAAAAAATAATTTTTGAATGTAGTTTTTAATGCTGATTTCAGAAATATAAATTAAAACTAGGAGAAATCAAAAGAAATATTTTAATATTTTTTTATTTTTCTAAGAAACAAAGGAAGTACTTTTAGCATTACATGTATACCTATGTATTTAAAACAACTGCAAGACATCAAGAAAATACAAAGTATTTCAATGTGAAAATTCAGAAATGTTCTTAAATATTTGCTTGAAGAGATCACCATTAAATTTATTTTTTATTTAAACAAACTTGTAATTATTTACAAATTAGTCTAACTTGATCTAACCTCACATAAACTGACCTAACCTAGCAAAATAAAAAAAATATTAAAAATATTTCTTTTCATTTCTCCAAATTTTAATTTATATTTCTGAAATTAGCATTTAAAACTACATTCAAAAATATATATTTCTTTCTATTTGAACACAGTGCATGGTTTAAACAGAAAAGATCCATGTTCTGTAATATTTAATAGGTGGCTGTTTTTATTAAAATCAGGAAGTTAAAGATGGAACTTGTCAAGTCACAAAAGAAAGAATAGAACATATTGAGTCTGATAATATTTTTCACACAACAGCCAAATAATGTGGAATCTTTTTTTCGTGGCCCTGAACAGTATATAAGTAACGTTTGTAGGAAATATGACATCTGAAGAAGGTATGTGATAGACATCTATGTACAATAAAGAAGGTTCAATAACTATCGTATGTCAAAGTGACATGAGACCTGGTAAAAGTACATGTTAAGTACAGTGTATTAAAAGTATAAGTACTGAAGAAGAAGATAGTTGAAGCATAAATATCAAGATAAAAGGATCTGTTGAAGGTGTTATATAAGTAAATATGACATTATAGATGATATAATGAATGAAATTTATTTATAAGTATAACTTGTGTACACATGTAAATTCAGTTGAATCAAAGAGAGGTTTGATGTACCACCATGCAACTATAGGACACAAACTTGTACTTCATACTCCTATATAAAACATATTTGTTTATAGTGAATACTTGTAGTCAGCTGAAGACTGCAATTTTGAGCTATGTCATCTCTTGTCATGCAGCTATATTGATGATGGTGACTATTACCCAAATAAGTTTTATACATCAATTACTAATTTTGGTGACAGGTGATGTGGATCTTGTTTATCCACTCATACTTGTGGAAAGTCTAGCTGATAGTGATGGGTGATAATGAAAATTGTGCTTGTGATATTATTATCATATAATTAGTTTAATCATCACAAAAAAATTATAACTTTTGGCAAAAAAGGGTGAAGGGACTGGGTGATCTAATTGACTTTTTCATATTTAAAACTGACAACTCTGAACTTTCTGTTCACCAACACATCTACTGCATGTCTGGCTGTTGCAGCTCTTGGCAGTGGTTCTTCATTGGAACTGAACCTGGGCTTTTGTTTTATTCATGCCTGCCTCTTCCATCTTACCCTCCTGTCATCTTCCTTTTCCAAAAACTGTGGAGTTCTGTACATTCTTTCTCATCATTTCTCTCTACTCTTTCATACTCCACCTCATTTTTCATCACCCTCTTTTCTATCCTCTTCTATTGATCCTCTGCATCTTCATATTATTCAGGACATGGTGTCCTCTTTGTTGGCAACAAGAGCTAGAGAACTATCTTTTACCTCACTCAGAGCTTTTATTCCCTTCCTTTTGTCATCCTCATGCAGTCAGGGGGTTTGGCACCCTGTCATGGAGTCACTTCTCATTGTTCCTTGATTCCAGTTGGGAAATGTTCTCAGTCTGCATGGGGCACTCTCTCCCAGGCTATGTTTAACCCTTTAGAGATAGGTCACAGGTGAAAGGCCATGCCATTTTGTTTGTTGACTCGCATTCAAAATTTTATTGAACTACAATTTCATGAATTTATGCCAATAAGTTTGGTATCAAACTGTAGATTATAATTAAAATTTTAGAACTATACATTATTCAAGTTCTTAATTTAAAAAGTAAATATTTAATAAAACAAATAAACATTGATTTTTGTGTGTCATGTGGTATGTAGAATGCAGCACTGGTTCAAATTAGATGTTTGTGAAGTCAAAATATTAAGTCTACAGTTTTGTACAAATTAGAAACTCAAATTACAGATACTGTCAAGCTAGAATATAAAATGTTTTCTATTTGCTAAAATATTGCTCATGTAATAAATCAAACACAGTGGCACCCCGCCCATCTCTTTTCATTTTTGGAAATACTCCCATATATACACTTACTTCTATATATGACATGAATAACCAATCAGAAATTCAGAATGACCCCTAATGGTTTTCTTAGCTTTTCTGACATGGTTAGTGTAATTTCTTTGTTTTTGAACCAAGATTTCGATGAGGTAGGTTGTGTCTTTAGTCTACTTGAAATTTCATATTTTTTAGAATAAAATACATATTAGTTACTTAGTTTGGTAAGTTATAGTTGAATTCTATGGTATTAATGTATTAATTTATGATTTTTTAGTTATTCAAATGTATATATAAAACCTAAAAAAATATTTTGTTTCATATAATCCGCATGCAAATTTTTTAAAGGCTTAGCAACCTACATCAAGCAGCAACCGAGTACAAAGATCGTAAGTAGAAGAGATAATTGTTTTATTTTACTTCTTTATTTAGTGTTCTATGTTTTAGGAAAAATGTGTTTAAGAACTTCAAAATAGCAATACTCATATATAATGTATAATAATTGAAATGTGACTAAAACATAGCTAAAACAAGCTACTTTGTAACATGAGTGCACATGAGCTGCATCATTGTAACTTCTGTATTGTTAACCAGGCATGGGTGAAAGGACAATATAATAAAAATTATAAATATATATAAATGTATAACGTTATGAGATTTAAGTCATTTCGTATAAACATTTATGTTTTTGTGTTATAATTTGTGTTCATGGTAGAATGAAAGAGGCATAATTTATGTTTATTTCCTAATATTCTATGGTGGTTGCGAGATCATTCAAATCTACCGAACTCGTACAGAGATTAATTACTGACAATAACAGATAAAATATAGTTTTTCTTAAGAAACATTTGATAACTATCCGGGCATTATAAAAATTTTGCATATGAAATTTCAAAATTTTCTGATGCATGAGAGTATTTTTTATTTTAAAATGAAAATTACTTTGCATGATAGATAGGCAAGATTTGAAAAAGAAAAAAAGACATGAGAGAAATATTGCTTTACAAACCTTACAACTTATTAAAAAAATGAGATATTTTGCATATGAAAGCATTGTAATGTTTACTGATAAACTGCCAAATTTTGTTATAATTTACATACTAATTTAAAAGTTATAGCATGAAAATTATAACAAGCACAAAATGGTTACAATGTCATCACATTGACCGATCCCATATTGAAAGGGTTAACTAACGTAGACATTTCAAATGCCATCCTTCATTTCCATTATTATATGGTTGTCTGGCTTCTCCTTGTCCCACATTGATAGGAATTGGCAATTACTACCTCCACTCTTTGGCAGGCCTCTTGCTGGGCTGGCTGGTCTAATATTACAAGATAATTTTGACTCCCACTCAGTTTCTTGTTTACATGGGGTTTTTCCTAAACTAATGCATGGTATAGGCTCAACTCTTTCACTTGCATGTTCGTGACATGGAGAATTTGATATCCAAGCCACCTCTCTCTTGCTTCAGAAGAAACCCTGATATGCATCCCCTTCTGTGGGCTCTAGAGGCTCATTGGAATATGTTCTGTGATCCATTATTTACCCTGTGCTATTGTGTTAAAACAGGAACATGATAAAGTAGCAAGTAAAGTTTTGTATAAGAAAATGTAAAATATAATTTCAAGATTGTCAAAAATCATTAAGACTAGAGAAATATCAAAATCTAAATGCTGATTAATAGTATGAAGCTTAAATTCAAATAAATGTTTGCTTTTATTATTGAAAATGTAGGTTGAAATTTGATATTTAAACATTTTTTGTGTATACAAACAAATGTAGAGAGTCATGTTCAACAATATTTCTGTGAGGTAGTCTGCAATATTCTGAGTAAAGATACTCTGAGAATAATGTGACTTGATTTACTTAGTACATGTGTATAATAGATGAACAGATATTAAAAGATTGTGATGGATTTTCTTACAGAACAGAAAATATTGACAAATATCCTTATACATATATGGTTTTATAGTGTTTTTTTTAATAATGCTGTTACAAAAGTTTAGTATGTACACTTTTTTTCCCTCAGTGTTGCAATTGTTATATTCAACATCAGCAGACAAGTGTTGGTTTTTGTGAAGCAGTTCAGGCCAGGTAAGATTGCACAGACATTTTTTACAAAGAAATATATAAGATTGATATATAAATGCATTTGAGTATACTTTAGCTTTAAAATCAAATATATGATAGATTTAGGTACTTAAAGTTGTAATAATCATACATCAATCATTGCTATAGTTAATATGCTATATGATTATATAAATGTAATTATGAGTTAATTACTAAATATTTTGTTCCTGTATAATAATTGATCTGTATTCCATGTTTTGGCAACTAATTTTTGTCATATTTCAAGAATTCTTGAGGACTGGGTGTGATGCAATAGCCAATATTTGATTTCCATCTTGTTAGAAAGGTTGAGAGCACATCTACTTGTCCAGAATCCACCTATTAGATATTATATCAACTATGTGAATGGTTTTAAGTGGGTTATCAATGTTTTGATGACTTTTATGCTGGATTGCCCGATTATGTTATCAGTTAATTATAGTATTTTGGCACTTGTGTATAACATTAAAATCATAAATAATATTCAATGTTAAACTGGTACACAATTAAAAACATTTTATTCAGGCCTATTTATGGCCCTCAAAAAGTTGATTACTCTACATGTTTTGACGTTACAATGTCATCCTCAGGACGTTGTAACATCGAAACACGTAGAATCGTCAACTTTTTGAAGGCCATAGATAGGCCTAAATAAAATGTTTTTAATTGTGTACCAATTTAACGTTGAATATTATTTATGATTTTAATGTTATCAGTTAAGTGGACACAGAAGGCCTCTCTTATTTCTTTTTCCGGACAAGGCTCATATCCCTTTAATTTAGTATCACTTCACTTTCTTATAAGATCTTTGTCTCTCATTGTGTGCTATGGCAGAGAGCTCAATATTACAGAGTTCTACAAGTCTGTTAATCATGCTTCTAAATTCTTAGCTGTGTTGGTTTTGGTTTTGTTTGTCCAATTGCATTCATATTGTGTTGTGGCTTATGAATATTGTTCGGACTTTATGCTGTTTGCATATCCTCTGTATGTTTCTAGAAACACCGTTGACAGGGGAATGTTGTAAACCTGATGATATGACATGTCATATGTCAGTTTATCTTTACATCCAAAGAGTCCTTAACCATTGTACATGGTTGTAGAGCATGATCAATATAACTTGATAGCCTGGAAGGTTTCTGACTAACTCTTAATCTCATTAGATTATTATTAAATGTCACCTACTCTTCCTGATAGCATTACAGTGAAGTGCATCAAACTTTATCCACTGTACATTTCTCGTCACTAACCTCAGTCATAGGTAACTCAAACCAGGACCTTGTGATGCTTTGACTTGCTAATGAGTGCCTTGGTGTCCCATAGAGATCATACCAGTAAGTATTGGGACATTTAGGCTCTTCAATACCACTGCAAGACCCTTCTCTGTTGCTTTGTGCTCTAGCCCATTTGAAGTAACCATTAGAGGATGTGTCAGAGTTGTCAGTGATGCACCTGTCAACCTCATAATCTCAAGAGCATGAAGAAAATGTGGACACCACTGTCATTATTACCACCAAAAGCTCTGGGTCTAAGAGAGTGACCCTTCTAGTCCTTGCTGCAGACTAAAATCACCCAAACTTCAGTTTTAGCTTCCTTCTTTCTCTCTCTTGCAAGTTCTTCATGATCTTAGAAAGTGTTCTTCTGGGATAATGATTTATAAATGTTAAAGTATAAGAAACTCAAAAGAATCGAGCTCAAAATAAGCTCCTCAGTGGTGCTTCTTAACTACTTTGTGGTATTCATGTACACTGATATACAACAAGTAGGAACATTTTTTTTTTTAATGATAATATAAAAATTTTAATTATAACATATATGATAATGCTAATTTCTTTAAAATACTTTGAATAGTAAAGTGGTTTAATTAAATTTTGAATTTAGCTTCGTAACACTCTGTAACATGCACAGAAAGGAATTTAGAGTGTACCAGTAGCCATAGTGTTAAATACATGAATTTAGGTGAGAGTTAGCTCAAGGCTAGTGGTATTCAAATGTTATAGGAAGACCCATGAGGGACATAGCTATCTTGTGTGAAGAGAGTGTGTATCTATCATAAATACATTTTCAGATAGGAAAATACTAACTGTGCTATTAACTGGCACATTATGCACTTGTTCTGCTTCCCAGTGTTTCCTGCAGTGTAACTTTGCACTTGTTCCTATGTTTACCATTAGCTGTAACTGCTTTCAAACCTTTAAGTAATTTACAATTCAGTAGTAACACAGATTTGTTTCCAATAATCTTTATGATGTAATCTATTTTATCATTTATCAAAAGGTCTTATGACTCTGCCAACATGGAGTTTTATGCCTCTGTAAACTAATGTTGTTCTCCAGCACTTAAAATATGTAGTACTTTGTAAAACTAATTAAATTTTACTCTAATTTTCATCTCTTGAGTGATTTGTATGCTCTTGTGTTTTGTAGCTATATTTTTCATATGTAGAAGATTTCTTTAGTGTGTTTAACAAAAGGGACTCTCTTTTCCCATTCAAGGACAGTTAAATTTACTGCATTTTTGATATAAGGTCACTGCAAGTAGGCATGAGAAAAGTAGCGATGCTATTTTCCTAATCTAAACATTATGATTCATGGGGCACATACATATGTCTGATGTCACCATGGTTTTCTTTCTTTAATAACATCCTATGTGTATGTTGGGCCAGGTAGAATAAGTTGTTAATTATGTTGTCACCACATTTTGAAGTAAAGACTTTTCATATAGGGAAATTATAGTAAAAAAGTGTCAACGGTATGAAAAAAATAGAAAAAATAGTTCTTAATGACATCTTAAAGGTTGCAATGACTGTCCTTACTAAAAGAAAAAACTTTTCAATACCAACAAAAACAAAATTAAAATGAACATAAAAAGTCATTAACAGTTGAATGCTAATGGATATAGCTAGTTTGAATTGTCTACAACAGTGAGCAGAAATAAAACCAGGTTTATCAAACCAGATTACCACTCTCAATATGGGCTTGGTCAATTTGACCTTTTTGTACCTGTTTGAAGTCTTTATAGATTTAATACTTATAGCTCTCAATATAGTGGGTATATCTTCATGAAATTTGGCAGTCTTTCAGTTAATGTTACAAGTCTTTCACATACAAAAAGTCATATTTCTTAGTGAAGTATTTTTAATAAAGTAAAATAAAGATTTGTTCATGAATATATTGAGTATTTAGTTGAAAGTTGTTTAAATATTTGTTTAAAAACAAGTGAAAGCTTAGAATGGTCTATTCTTTCATTGTGGTGTGTCTGTGGGCCAGACTAGTTTCGGAGAATTTCACTCCTCATCAGTGACCTTGGACACGACCACCAAATGAAACTTCAGACCAAACCAAGCCTTTATAGTAGTGAGGTTTTCGTTTTGAATTGTTTGTGTGCAAAGTAATTTTCATGTTAAAATTAAAATTGTGTAATTCCTAAAACCTCCTAAATGAATTTCAAACGTTTCAGTAAAACTTTATTGTTTATTTGTTACTTTCTCTATCCTATCTCAAAATGGGATTGGTCAATTCGACCGACCTGATAACCATAAAAAAAATTGGAAATAATTCTAAATTAACTTTTTCTTTCTAGAATGACTTCAAATTGGAACATGAAACTATATTCGTTTATCCTAAGTAGCTCTAAGTTTGTAACATTATACATCTATTTATACTTACATTTATTGTTTTATTGCCTTTTGAACTGTGTCTAACTACTTTCCACACCATAAATAGTTGTAACTCACTTTGAGAATGTGCAGCTCACATTACGTTATCGAATTACATTACCCACCAGCTGCTCATGTGTGTGCCTCATGAATCATTTTAAGTATATCATTGTTATTACTTATTTTACCTAATCTAGTCTTAAATAACTTTATACAAAAATCAGTATTTTTAGATTTTAGTTACTTTT